GAAATAAAAGAAAACAACAGAACAAAGTCTTTGGTGTTTCGGTTGATAAAAACTTTAACATAAGAGGGAAATGGTACCAAAATTATTTGAGAATCTACTGTGTGCCAAACATGAATCATTACTGTCATACTGTTGAAAAACCCTGAACCAAAGCAAAATAAACCAAACTAAATTGATTTGGGTTACATTAACAGGAGCTGTATTTCCAAAGGTTAAGGTTAGTTAAGAGTTTCCCTCTTTACTGGTTTGAACCTACATTTGGAGTACTCTGTTCGGATTAGAGCACAGCAAGAAACCTGTTTTTAAAATAACAGGTGAAGGGAATGGGAATATTTAGCCTGGAGAACTGCTGTTTTCATTCATTCATTTTTGAACACGTTTATTAAACGTAAATTACGAGCTAGGCATGGTAGGTGCTGAAAAGATAAAAATAACTACAAGGTTGTCTTTTTCCACAACCAAAGAAGGGAAACATTATTTACTGACAGTTGCTACTGTCACCGGTGGTCAAGGGGGCCTTTGGCCAGAGATAGCCCCTGGCAAGAGACAGTACTCTGCTCCCCCAGTTGTCTTGCTTGTACAAATAAATTCAAACAACAGACAACAAATAACAGCAAAAACAAGCGAGGATTTATTTGTAGGAAAGATACAATCAGATAGGACTTGAGCAGACAACTCAGTTAGCAGAAACCCAACCCAGTGCACCAACATATTTGGGAATTTAGATGATATATACCCCTAGGCTGGAGTGCCCTTATGCAGGAGCAAGTCACCTCTCCCTCATGTCTCAGAAAAATGTATCTTTAACCTACAAGGCTCCTTCATCTAGGTGTTATGTCACTGGTTAGACCATGTCCTGGCGGGCTCTGAATCTTTCCTGCTCACATAGGGGCCTGCCACCTCCATTGTCTATTTTCAGTTTGTCATGTCTCACACGTACTTCCTCCAAGCCCCAGCTGCCTCTCCCAGTCTTTCCCAGCTCATATCCTTCTATCTGCCTACTCTAACCCTACTATATTAATTACCTTAAATATATTAGCTTCTTTGATCCTGTAATCCTGTGAATTTCTACTTTGGGTTGGGTAAACTAACACTTCAGAGAGAGTCATTTGGCCTGGAATTCACATAGGTAAGTGGGCGGTGGAAATGGAATTCAAACCCAGGTCCCAGTAAATCTGGGGTCTTTGTTCTCCATCACTATATAATATTGTCTTTTCGAATTCAGATTCATGGGCTTCTTATCTTTGAAGAATTGACCTTTAGAAGTATGAGTATGCATCTATTAAAGCAAAAATGTATACAAAATTAATATTCACCACATAAAATATTTTTTAATCTTAAAAATTAACATTTTATGTAGCTTCTATTATTTTATACCTGTCTTCTACTTCAAAATAATTTTAATGCAAAAGCTAAGTTAATTGTAAATTTTCAGGGAAAATAGGCATTGTAGGCTAAAAAAAACAGAACTGCTGTTTTTTCTAAACTTTATGTTTTGGGGATAGTATTGAAAACACATAACTGTGCAATTATAAAAATTTGCATGTGATTATAATTGGTCTTACATATGTTTATAGGTCATTCAACACATTGTGCCTATACAATAAAGGTACAAGGACACATATAACGTATGCTGGCTGCTGAGTTGGAACTATTTCACTAAATTCTCACTGCTGTGAGCGTGAGACTGAGTTCAATAACTTGAGTAGACTGCATGGGTAGTTAAGTAGTGAGTGTGATTCCAAAGTTTGTGCACTTTCCACAGTACCACACTACCTTAAAGGACCTGATAGTGTACTGGAGGATGCGCTTAAATTGGTAAGCTCTTTTAAATATCTCTGATATTGAATTAAGTATACAAAAGTAGTGGGGTTTTCCTATTTGAAATAGTGAAAACCTCTCTACACAGCCCCTATCTCTACTGAAGGAAAATGAACAAACAAGAAAACCAAAACCAAAATGCACACACGTACTGCTTAACAAACAAAACTGAGAAAATAAAAGCAAAAATATAAAATGATCTTATGCTATCTATTCAGAAAGAAAATATAAAGTTCAAGTTGTCACTGTCTCTTAAAGCACTAATGCAAGAAAGGTAAAAACAACAAGAGGTAGAACCTTATGTAATACAGGGTGGGGCAAAAGTAGGTCCGATTGTTTGCGTGGAAAATGCAACAATAATTAATAAATAATAATACAAGAATAATTTTTGTTTTGTGTACTCAAAACTGTAAACCTACTTTTGCCCCACTCTGTATATGCCCAGTGGAGTGAAAAAAAGTTAGTGCAATGACGTTTCAGTATGGATTTACATATTTAAGATACATATGTCATTTTAAATTTGCAAATGAAAATAGCACTCATAAAAGTAGATGATACACATTTGGGACACAGAAGTGCTGTAGGTGGATATACATGTCACAAGATTTTTCAATTATATAGCATATCTAAGTCACACTATTAAAAGTTATTGGTTTTGCAAATTTTCTACACAGTTGCAATCATTCTAGCATTTTATAATTCAATTGCTATTTAATTTTAATGGATGTGCCAATTATCACTTCTTTCATAAATTGTTGCTTAACTATTCCCATAACTCAATCTCTCCAGTGCAAATTTAAACACACACACGCACACACACACACACACACACACAAATCCTAAGCACTGGTTTTGAGGAAGTTTGTTACATATGATCTATAGTAGTTTAGAATTTTACCATGCTCCAATATCCCAGGAGTTAGCTTGATTAGCCAGTCCAATATAATATGCGCAATAGCAAAACAAATTATGATAGATTTGTATATTGACAATTAAAATAATTTCAACATTTCTTAAGATATCTAATATTTCTAGTGGCTTTTAATATACCTTTACTGAAAAGGGCATACCTCATGAAATATTAAAGAAAATCACATCCTTCATTTCGAGGACAAAAACGGCAGACATACCTATTTAGTTTTAATTCAATATTAGAGCAGATTACTGTGTACATTTTAATTTTTTAAACTAAAAGTATTTTTTGCTTCTATATTTGTGCAGACACAGAAATATATTTTTGTCACAGACCAAGGCTGGCAATGAGAATTGCCTACATTTTTAGATAATTTCGAAATCCTCTTAAGTGTACATGCCTAAGAAAAAGGGGGGCATTATCATTAACTGGCATCATAACCTGAGGATCCTTAGGGATTTTTAAATTACGGGATTTGTAGCTTCCACCAAATTACCCCAGTGGCACAGGGTGCAGCCTTTTTAAGTTGGGAGGTGAGTTCAAGAGCTTTTTGTTGTTCAAAGCTCCATCCAGAGCAAATCACTGTTTCACAGGTTCTAATTTAAGTTGTGCCTGTGCGCGCAGGTTGTGCCCGTGCGCTTCTTTCACGGCTGAAAAAAAAGACCCATGACATTTATCTGTATCCTTGCCCCAGCAACGCAGGATCATTCCCCACAGTGCGTTTGTTTCTGCTTTGCCAGCCACTTTTTTTTTTTGGAAATTCCAGGGGCGCAGGCGAGCAGGACTAGAGGAAGGGCGCAGAGGGGCAGAAATAGGTCGTCTGCCACTCCCCTACCTTACAAGGCACGTGGTACAGCCAGTGGCGGCTGCCGGATGCGACGCTGAGAATGAAGATAATGAACCTCCTCCCAGCAAGAGGATATTGAAGGAAGGAGATGGCAGCGAAGGCTAGACACACACTCACAGTGTCCTTCCCCGCAGGGAGAATTCACCCTCAAGGGAAAGACTACGAGGAAGCCACCACCCGCCTCGCCTCTGCCAGCTAGCTCCAGTGTCTGGCAGCGGTCCCTATGCACCTGGTCACCTATCGGTTCAGGGT